TGAAGCCAGGTTGTCGCAGGCAACTCTGTGGTTGATCCCGGGTGTAAGAGAAGAGAAACACAAGTAGGGATGTGCACATTTGTCAGGGTCCAGTGTCAGGGGACGCCCGGTTATCCGGCCCCCCTTTACTCTAAGCGATATCAATGAGGTAATTGTTAGCCGAGATTGCGTGAAATAATTACATAGTTAGAACGCAGATATAACTCATTGCGCTATATTCGCTATCACATCACCCCTTACCCGATATTCCCTCATTTCCTGCATCTTCTATCTTCCTATTTGATGTCGTGTTTCTATTAGTTACCATCTTCCCAATGTAACTGCGCTCTCGTGAGTTAGCAGAACTCATGTACATAAGGCTACTATGCCAGCTGGGCTAGCCCCCCAGCTTTGATATCGACTAGTTTCCTGGGGATACTCTTGTGCTGCGAATAGACGCGCGGACTCTGACATCCAGCCCTCATTCCATGACAGGGCCAGGGAGATCCTCCTAGTTGCTGGGGTGTCTAGTCCCAGTCCGAGATCCTCAAACTCACTGAGGGGGCTAGCCCCAGCCTTCACAGGAAATGAGTTGAGAAGAAGGGTAACCTTCTCAACCTCCTGTGAAGCCGCTACAAATGGGAGTTGGGAACTATACAGTTTTCAGCTCTTTGCCAACTTTGGCACCCCCCCCCCCCGTGGGAAGATTCTGGGCGAGCTGCTTGCCCAGAAAGTTCCCACAGTTGTGGCTGTGATGGTTTCTGGGCAAGTAACTCACCCAGAACGTTCCCACAGGTCTGCATGCATGCGGGAATGTGGAACAGTGAAGGGAAAAATAGGAGAAAATGGGGGAAGGGTACCTGAGGGTGTGTGGGGTCGGGGGCTGTGCCCTGACAACATTGTGGTACCCATGCAGGGTGCTCGGCGTTGGATGCGTCTGTGCTACAAATGTGGAAAAGAGAGAAGTCATCCATATAAGGATAGAAAGGAAGAAGAGAAAGGAGAGAAAGAAGGAAAGGAGGAAGGAGAAAGAGAGGGCAGAGAGGGGTGTGGCACGCTGTGGCACTGTCAAAAACCTGGATTGTAGGGGTAAATGCGTGAGTCCGAATGCAGGCAGGGCTCAACTAGAGGGGGGATCCGAGAGCTCCAGTGGTGGACCGAAGCTTCTCCAGGAAGCCCGTACAAGAGGCTCTAAGAAGGATGCAGCCTCAACGACTCGGAGGGAGCGCTGTGCCTCCGTTACGTCTCAGTTAGTCCTTGTATTTCTTATGTCTGAGGTATCTTGTAGAACGGAACGGGATTCACTCAGAGGGACTTTGGGTAGCATTTTAGTCGAGATTAGAACTGAGGAACTACAGGTTCTAATCTATGGGTATTTATAAAGGGAAATGGAAAGGACTTAGTCAAAGTCTGAATGACAAATGGGACAACACCGAAAGGTGCCGAATGATACCGAGAGGTACCAAACGATATCTTTAACAGGGAACCGAGGTGTCAGACCAAGGAGGGCGGAGTAAGAGGCCGGAAAATGAATGGGAACGAGAAATGGGTAAGGGGGGGTTAGCCGACTGAATGATAAGAAGAAGATAGTCATGCTAAGAGTGGAAGGTGACTAATAAGTGATGACATGGGTGAGATCACTGAAGGATGCAGGTAACTCCGAAAGCGGAGTTGCATATCTGAAGGATGTTGGGTGACTCAAATAAATGAAATGGGTGGAGGAATGGTTTAAGGGTATGTCACAGGATGTCGGAGGTCCGTCAGGATATCGGAGCAAATCCGGAGTCTCCGAATGTTCCGACTCGGGACCGAGCTTCTGGGATGGGAGTGACCAAGGTTCGGTGTGCCGCAACCAGACCGGAGCTGAGACAATCAGGAGGGAAGGTGACTTGGGGAGTGGGGAGGCATGGTGTAGGGGATGGTGGAGTTGTTAGGAAGGTGTGGTGTGGTGGGAGTGCACGGGGTCAGGATTCCAGGATATGACAGGCACGGCGTGCCCTGACAGAAAGTGACATGGTAATATGCCATCAGGGCACCTGTGAAAACACATTCCTCCAACTTGAGGCCTCACACAGAATTGTATGCAAGGAACTTGTCATATCCATACAACTCCAGACCTCCACTCCTGTTTCTGGACCTCCATCTCCTCCTCCAGAACTCCACATCCTCCACCTCCTCCTCCCCCTGTTGGTTGTTGAGAGCCCACTCTACCTCTGGCTCCAACACAATGTCCAACACTACCTCCAGTCCAACTCCGGTTTACTCCAGGTCCAATCCCAACCTCGTACCTTCCAGACCAGAGCTTGTGATGCTCCACACCTCTGGCTCCAGACTCCTGTACCAGAACCCCATCACACCTCCACCTCTGGAACTCCAGTCACATCTCCGCCCCTGGACTTTGACCTCCTCCTCCATCTTATCTCCTTGTATTCTTTATTGCATTTCATTTATTACATCTAGCCAATATTCCAGACTTTGACTTCTGACTCCAGACCTCTGGAACTTACTCCAGACCCTGCAGTCTCTACTGTATGGTGTCATTTAATCCTCTTGTTGCTTCTTCCTTATTTAGATGGCTGCTTCCTTTCCATAATAGTCAGCTGTCATTCCCCACAACCCACTCCACTCCTTCCCCTCTTGGCCTTGCCCTTTTGGGAAGCACCATAGAGTTCCAACCCTTGACCCTTGGGGTTGTTCCCTCATCCAGTCCCCCTTTGTCTCCTTCCAGTTCCCTTTGTTCCCTTTGGGTTCTATTTGTCCTCTGACTCCACTCCTGTATTATTATATACACTCTGTACATAGTTTCCTGTACCCCTAGTCTGAAATCGACAACTAGAGAACCAGAATCAACTGGATTGTCCCCCCAAGAGACTCCCCCTGCTAACCTGAAATTAAGGACCACCTTAGACAACAAACCAATGGCACAGCGCTCCACCTGAGTCGCTGAGGCCAAGGTCCCTCCTTACTGAGTCCTTTCCCTGCTTCCGTACAATTATGCACTCTATAACAGAACTGCAAGTAACAATTGCAGAAACTTCTACTCCACCCAACCCACCTTCATCACTGCCTGTGTGTAAACACTAAATTTGTTAGATATGGCAAGTTCAGACAATTCTGGAATGGAATCAGAGACTTATTGTGGAAGGACCTTGGCCTCAGCAACTCAGGCAGAGTGCTGTGCCATTGCTGGTTGTCCTGGGGGTCCCTAATTTTGGATCTAGTGAAGGGGAAGTCTCTTAGGGGGAATCAAGTTGATTTTGGACTGAGGTTACAAGTTAACAGGTACATTGTATATAAGGAGGGGTCTGGAATCAAAAGGAGCAAGGGTAGTCTGAAAGGGGACAAAGGGAGCTGGAAGGAGGAACAACACCAAGGGTCAAGGGTTTGACTCAATGGTGTTTCCCAAAGGAGGAGTGAAGGGCCAAGGCCCAAGGAGGAAGGAGGATGGGAGTCAGGAATGGCTAGCTGACTGAATAGAAGGAAGCAGCAGCCCAAATAGGAATGAGGGAGAATCGCAGAAATGAATGGGACAATGCAATAGTTGCAAGGTCCAAAGTAAGTCCAGAAAGTCCGAACTTGGAAGTCAAACTCTGGAATATTGGCAAAGGTAAATAAATGGAATTGGCTAACCAATACAATGAGTATAAGTGGAGGTGGGGTCAAAGTCCAAGGTTGGAGCTAAGACCAGAGGTCCAAGACAGAGATGCGAACAGGATTCCGGAGCAGAGGTCCGGAGTCAGGAGCATAGTTGTTGCATACTCATCTGGAAGGTGTCGAGGTTGAGGTCGGACCCGGAATGGTCCGGAGTCGGACCAAAGGTGGTGTCAGAGCCAGAGGTGGGATAACCTCTTGGGAGTCGGCAAGGAGAAGGTGATGGAAGGGAAGTGGGGCTCCAGAGTCAGTTTTGGAGTTCTGGGAGCCTGGAGTGGAGGTCAGGATTGTACGGATATGACACTACTGTACTATACACATCTTCATATCACTTACGGTTCTGGTGTGCTGAGCAACCCCTGAGACCTCACACAAACAGTAGTGGCACAGCACTCCTTTCTGAGTCACTGAGGCCAAGGTTCTCCCGTATTAAGTCTCCTGTTCCACTCCCGGAACCATTTGAACCACACATCATCTAACAGGGATGAGTGTGGTCAAAACAGGTCAATATGTAGTGGTTTTAGCTGTTCTTTTGTGATGAGCTCAGGATGAGGGCTTCTTCTGTTTCTCCCTATGGTGTTAATTTGTTGTATTTAGGTGTCATCTCTCACTCACTAGTTTAACAACATTGCAGTCTGTTGTAAACGGCGTTCCGGATAAGGCAACCCGGTTCCCAGCGGCTCACTCGTAGCACAGATGTAAGATAGAAGCGGGAATATAACTAGTGATTTGGGGATGATGTCCGTGCGTATATATATACAAAAGAATGAATAAAGAGGAAAATCTACGTAAGGCAACTCCTGTGCAGGCTGCGCGCTTAGTAAAATCCTCCACATTATCCTCCACATGCCCCCGGATATCTCCGGTGACTCGCATTGCCAACACAGTCACTATAAGGATAGACGGAGTACGGTGTCCAACATTGCGATATCATACTCAGGCAAGTTTCTCATTCATCGTTACTGCATGTGCATAGTGCTTATATCTGATCCAACATTGCGATATCGTACTCGAATATCATCCAGCTGCCCCGCATTTAAACAAGTTGTGCCTGTCCATGATGGTCGCCACTCTGCTGTGCATAGCATATGCAGTAAGAGTTACTACATTCCCTACAATAAATGACTGCGAAGTCAAAGAGAAGAGCTAGGGAGTGCAGACCGCGGTAGGCGGGAAATCTGGTTCTTCAATAGATGATAACCCCCCATTGGTAGTTGAAGCAGGGTACGATGCTATTGGTTGTCGCTGTCGATGACATATCTCAATCAAGCAAATAACAGTGGGGTGTTGGCTTATCCTTTCATTTGCAGAGGCTGAGATGGCCGGCTTTCCCAGTAAACGCATTTAAAACCAACACTCATGGTTCTTCCCTATTCGGCAGTGGGACGATGTTCTCGTTCACACCCTCCTGGCAGGAGAAACTCGTAGTCCTTGGGATGGCGAACGAGCCAATTGGGTATATCTGTAAATGAGCTTGTCTTCTTCAGTGGACCAGATTGGGCGATCAGGTCGTAGAACGAGAAAGCCTCCTATTATGAGATTGGTCCCTTCTTAGTGGGAGGATGGAACCGGAGAAGGGCGAAGGACGAACAGGATACATGTCAAAAATATCACTTCCTTCACACGTGTGTTTATTGATTCGTTTTGGATCAATCTGGTGTTTCCCTTTTAAACGATCATTATGACTGTATCCCTACGTTATGAAGGGACGCAGATTTGATCAGTCCAACCAAATGAACCGAGGTTGTATGATGAATGCTGCCTACCGTCATTTTGAATTGAATATCCTCGATATACCTGAAGCACCAACTACAGTGCCATCCCGCATTAGCAAGCATGACATCTCCCCCTTTCGCATGATTATAATTCGAACCGGGTCCGCCCCACCGAACAGCCTTCGGACGCCAATACCCATCATCCGGAATGGGATATTCAAAGCTATACCGGTAATTCTTCATTTGAAGGTGAATGGGCGATGGCCAGGTGGAACACTGCTTCAGGAGGGATATTGTATGTGGAGTGGGTATCTCGTCTACATCTGACATGATGACAATATCATTCGCCTTGACGCCCGCCGAGTATAGCAATGAATCCATTCGGTGACGGAGTTGTCTTTCATTGTCGAAAGGGTCTTTGGGTGATGGATCGAGGTCTTGGACTAGTTCGTATTTTATTTTTGAAGAGGCCCAATGTAAGCGGGAAGAAGGGGATAGGATGGACGACAGAGGTATCAAGTTTTCTCGAAGTTCGCCTGAGAACGCACGGGACGCTTCGGCGATGACGAAGGTATCTACGACATCCCAAAGTTCGTGCAGACGGATCTCAAGCAGGTCAATTTCGATGCTGTAGAGGACAGCGTCATAGACTTTTGCAGTCGATGGGCCGGAAGAATATTCCCAACCGTGGATGGAGCACAGTTCTGTTGGTGCGGTTGCATTATAGTCTGACACGTCGTAATGAGGGACGATTCTTTGAGGTGTCGACTTTTTGTTCGATGTGTCCCATATGGGACGTGTAATGTAGCCTAAGTCACGGAACCATTTATCCTTTGCTGCGGCGTGGATGAGCCAAATGAAGAAAAAGAAACTGGAAATGCCGATGAGGAGAAGGAATCTTAGCCTCAGACGTGACCTTCCCGAATATGTTGTTCGATGCGTAGGAAGGACGGAACGGGGGGGATAAGAACTGAGCATTGTTCTTGCATAGAGACAGGCTTTGCACCGCCACTCAACTCAATCGTGTACTTCTCACAATCGCGCATTTGTCGTTGTCTCAAAGCTTGCCTCTTCGTATCACCTTTTCCGAAGCCAATTCCCGCTCAACGTTATTGGTCATTCTTGATCTTAGAAAACAGAGGGACCCGACCTCGGCACAGACTAGTGTTGCATTCCCATCAGGCGGTGGCTTTGCTTTTACGTGTCACTCATTGATTAAGGTTTGCGAGCGTCAACTGTGGACTCCGACCTCCTTAGTGTCAGCCGCTGCAAAATGCTTATCCGACGATCTACACTCTCTTTCGTCAGCATTGCCGCCCTCACTTTCATCATTGGCTCATCTTTGGTCGCCTGGACACGCCCAGAATATGTTCACAAAGTCATTCCATCTAAATGGCGAGATTGGACAGGCTTAGATTCGAAGGAAAACTCCGACATCCCACTTCCCATTAGGCCTACTTCAGCCCATGAACCAGATGAGAAGACGAAAGGAGGAAAGCCGACTAAGCCTAGTGATGAAGTTCACATATTACCATCGGATGGCCATCCTACTCATGACGTTGAACACGAAGTTCAACCTTTACCCGTTTCGATTGATACGGAAATGATGAAGATCGAAATCAAGTCGGAAGAGCTAAAGAAACGACTTTACGCGCTTCTAAGCGCACCTTTGTGGGGATTTCGTGAAACAGTGGATGCATTTGCCAAAGCATGTCCTCGGGAGGTTGCAGATGAACAAGTCAATCCTGATCAGCTCGTGGGCAATGAAGAGTTTTGGACGACGATTGTTAATCCTGAGCTTGTCAAAAGGAGGGTGGGGATGGTCAAATATCTTGAAAAATTAGAGGAAAGTGGACAAGCTGTGGTTTGGGACGGGAAAGGGAAGGGTAGAGGGATTGTTATGACGGGTGGCAATCAAGTGAGCAGTTCACACTCTACATATTTGATAAGGATAAAGACAGGGGCATACTGACATGCCCCCGACATGCCTTTCTGTACAGGATACGACAGCTCGGTTGTTGGTCACACTGCGGATTTTGCGAAAGGAATATAAGACTTCGTTGCCTGTGGAGATCTTCTCTTTCCCTGGTGAGATACAGGACGAGGCTCTGCTGAAGGAACTTGAAGAATTGAATGCTGTCGTCAAGGAGGTAGGGACGCTCACCTGGCTGCCAAAAGTACCGTCTGCTAACCCGGAAACTCTCTTTGCACAATAAGCTGCCAGGAAGAACGAAGCTTAACATATGGAAGAACTTCCAAGTGTGTTCACGTTTACCCCATTGGAAGCCCCATACTTACAGCTTACCTGGTTGTCCAGATCAAAGCGGACGCGATTGTGTCATCCTCATTTGAAGAGGTCTTATACTTAGACAGCGACAATGTCCCTACCCGCGACCCCACATACCTCTTCAACGCTGATATCTATAAGAAGAATGGGAAAGCAGTTTTCTGGCCAGACCTAAATAAAGACCACCGTGAGTGATTGCATCGCGTGCTGACTCTTTTTTGGCTAACTTCCCCTTGATTCTGCACTCGCGATAACTTGTACTCTCGTCTTTTCATACACGCATTACGATGTGTTTGGCGATTAGCGGATAATCCGATCTGGCGTTTATTGGGAAAACCATGCGACTATTCACAATGGGAGATCGAATCAGGTATGTGTGGCTATGATTCTTCAGGTTTCGTCACCCCAACTGGGCCACAACTTATTCTTGCGCTTTGCACGTTTACCTCTGTGCGCCATTTTCCCAACCCCAACCCCTGTTCCCTTGTTCCCTGTGCAAGCCTAGCGTTTAAAGCAATAATTTCAATTACAACGCCGATCACTGATTCAGACATCTTTTTTGCTTTATGTGCTCGTTGCGGTGTTAACGTTGCTTTGCTACTCCTGAAACTTGACCGCCCACACGCGAAGGTCAAATCATTATCAGTAAATCCGGAAATGACGGGTTGAACCTTGCTGCGTTGCATCTCGCGTCGCATATGCAAGAACAGCATGAGTTTTACTTCCGTCTTAGTGGAGGTGATAAGGACACATTCGTACGTGATCTTTGCCTTTTCTCTGGCTTTTGCAACACCAGCACCCGCTCGATCGGTTGGTTACTGACTTTGCGTTACATGCCACTCGTCTTGGCTATGCCGCTGTGGGCATTGCACACATCATGGGCGCACTCAATTTGTGGGTATGCTATCACCTGGCGACTTGCATAATGGATGTCGAACCGGCTCTCACTGACCCGAACCCGGATACAATTAACTTGCTTTGCCTGGTTGGTTGAACTTGTGCGCAGCGATACGCATTCTGGGCGTTGAGATTACCGTTTGGCGTCTCGCCCCGATATCTGTCTGCTTTGGGATTTAAAAGCCAGTATGACAACGGTCGCTTCTGTGGGATTGCTATGCTGCAGGTACGCTAAAGAAGTGGAAGTGAAGGGTGCGCGGGGCATGCTGATCAAATTTAACGCATTCTCTTTCCCCTACTTTTGGTGAATCGTCTTCGGGAACGCGCACGTCCATGAACTTGGCTGGATGACGGCTCCTGCTCGGCTGAATTTGATCACGGGCTGGTTGATTCGCCGTTCTGAATTGGGGTACACACCATATTCATCGGATCCAAATTTTGTGCAACGACGTCCGGCACAACGCACTGAAAACTACATCTCCTGGAATAACAGTATGACCTCATCGATCCGCCAGAAGCTCAAGCTACCTCTCATCCAACTCCGCTCTTCGTCCATGGAAACCTTCTCAAACATATGAACCTTTTGCCGTCAGGTGGCGGTAGCCCGTTCAGTGTCATCAAACGATTCTCCACGGATGTGGCGAAATCGAGAGAGTTAGATGGAGCGAAGATGTATGTGTATAATGTTCATGGCATGTGTATAGATTTGGAATTGTTGGGTGAGGCTGCGGTGGAGAAAGGCGGGAAGGGATTGAAGATTGTTGAGGAGGCATTTGAGGAGGTTTATGGAGGGCTGTTGAAAAGATTCTCGGAGATCTATTATAAGCATGGCGGGAAAGGCGGTGGGTGGCGATGAGGCGTGGGCGGGTTGTGAGTGTTGTTAATGGGGTTATTGGTTCTATAACCCCCCTCATCGCAGGTCTTCAGAATTTTTCGTTATAATTATACAGGTTGCAGGAGAGCTTGATACTGGGGGGTTATCAGTAATATTCTTGTGAGAGCGTGGCAAGCGATCCTTAGTATGCCAGAAATGCAGCCTTGATCTTTGCTGATTGTGCGCGGGACTCAGATACAAATTAATTGTTCATATCGTCATTATTGTGCCTCCGGTTTCGTTGGTCGCTTGAGAGTCAAAAGCGATAATATCGGTAGCCATTTAATCGACGCAGATAGCTCCTAGTTGGTTACGGCTGGGAGATAATATGGAAGTAAGACTCGGTCTGTATATAATATCACGAAGTCATGGAGGCTAGGACTCGATGTGAGGGGCACAACCAAACGGGGGATGGTACGGATAGTTGAACCTCTCAAGCTTTGGCGCATGGTCGGGTGCTTCCGGAGTAATTTGAATCGTAATTCATTCATCCATTTAATCGATTCAATATGTTATCATTTGACATCACTCAATTGAATTGAGGGGTAATTGCCAAGAAAGGAGAAGGGTCACGATGGTGTGACCCTAACCATAAATGGGAATCGGACTTTTCCTTGAGTGGGACTTGCCGGTCCTGAGTTGGCTCCCAGCAAAACAAAATAATTTATTTGGATGAGCAGCTCTCCGATTGACTATTTAGGAAATGTTTAGCGCTCATCATTCATTCGCTGCCGTTTTCGGATGATCACGAGACTGGCCTGGTCATTTATTCAAATCGGGTGCGCAAGTTTTTTTTGTAAGGCCTTGAGGGGAGGCTCAAGATGTCGCAGCGATTGTGATTGGCGCCGTGGCTCTTCGAAGTTAGCACTCATAGCTTGCGCGCCTGAGGCTTGCACCGCCTCATTACGAGGAGGGCCGTCTCCGGATGATGATCGGATCCGTTGATGCTCTTGGGGTTGGGGGGTTGGGTGCCGCTGAGGTGGGAAGGGGATGAGAGTACTGGTCATTCGTTATTGAAATTTGTTCTTTTATGGGTAGTTTGTCCATAAAAATCGATCTACCATTTCCTTCCGTAGCGATAAGAAATGGAGGTGCGAAGCTTAGATAATCAATGTTACTACTTGCCATCAATCCGGAAGCAAATTCTCCAACTCTGTTGCCCATTTCATAATATTTCTGGTTGGTTGCGGTCATCTTCCTTTCCCTCACCTCCTTCACCTCCCCCATCCTGGAATGAGCATTCCTCGCTGAACGCTAGACTCCATCTTCAGCGACGGACTCCGAGCGGCTTCGAGCTTCCCTCTGTCCACCTCTCCCAATCCCGTTTCCCCCGTTGTTAAAGGATAACGCCTGGAGTGAGTACTCTTTCCTTATCGGCTGTGCCGACTTGAACACCCGTGCTCACGACGTCCGCCATGTTCACTTCCCAATAGTTCTCGCGACCCTTTACAGCATTCATTAACTCCCGAATCTTACTCCGCCAATACGAACCACCCTCGGCCGCTCTGCTCATTACCAGAGAGAAAGAATCCCTATCCTTGATCGAAAGGTGTCCGCTGAGCAATCGCGTAACCTGAGATCCAAGCACTTTATTTCTAGCCGCCCCAACCACCCCTGCTGCTGTTGAGGCCGTTTATATCCTCCGACTCTTACAACTTTAGCTTTCACTTGACTTTCCTCGACAACCCTGTTGGGATTATCCCGCACTGTTACCCAACCTCATTCCGACCCCTTTGGTCCGTGCATAGACCCTCCCCCATTTGCTCCACGCAAATTATCATTTTCACTTTCTCCTACCTCTTCAACACCACATTGCACTACTGCATTTTCCTTCGAAGTAACCCTCACTCATTGCTCCAAGCGCTCTTCCCTTCTCACTCACATTTTCTCACCCTTGTATGATGTCCACCATTATTCACACTTTACCCGCTTCTCCTGTCAGCCTGGGAGGCGCTTCATCGGGCGCCGACTCACCGATTGCCGACCCTATTTCCCCCCCACACCAGACAACGGCAGGACCGAATAATACTTCGCCGCTTACCGGTGAAGCTCTACTCACACCTCGGACAACGAGTCCCACCAACAGTAGTAACGCCAATCCAAATGGCGCAGCATCTTCCACTGCCTTCATTGGGACGGGGGGTGTTGTGAGGCGCAAGCCCGCTCGCCGCGCAAATACTGCTGAACGTCGCGCGACTCATAATGCTGTTGAGCGACAGCGCCGCGAAACGCTGAATAGTCGATTCCTCGTACGTCCGTCCCGCCTTCGTTTGTCCAATGCCAATGACAACTGACATTGGCATATCATTTGGTTTTCTTAACATATTCCAGGATCTAGCTGCTCTCCTTCCTAACCTCATCGCAGTTCGCCGTCCATCCAAGTCGGCTATCGTCAACTCGAGCATTGCTCTCATTCACACTCAACGCCGGCAGCGTGCCCTCGCTGCCCGTGAACTCCGGCAACTCGTTGCTGAGGCCGATGCACTTCGTCGTCAAGTTAATGAATGGCGTGCAGCCTATCCGCATGCCTCAATTGCAGGTGCCCTTGAAGGCCCCGTTGAGGAGCCCGCGAGAAGTGCAGAGTTTATCGCGCTCTTGGAACTTGAGAACGTCCCCGAAGAAGTGATGGCTATGAATGAGGCGGAAAGGATCGCATTTGAGATGAGAGGTGGCGAGAACGGTGGGATGAATGGGTTTGCGGATGAGGATGATAACGATTACGGAGATGAGGAGCTCAATGTTGAGCCCCGAGGAAGCCAAGGAGTTCCGACTGAAACGAGTAGCACGCAACCCGTTCGCAGTGCAAGCCTTCACGGCCCCACTGGAGTGAATGTTCCTCCGCGCCCACCGAATATCAACGGGGTTCATTCTCAACCACAACAGCAGCACAATTCCCCTGTATCACTCCTTCCCAATATCTACCTCCAACAACAACTTGCGTTACAGCAGCAACAGCACCTGCATGCTCAACAACAAGCTGTAGCTGCCGCCGCCGCCGCTGCCAGTTTCCCTGCTAACTTTGTACCTACCTTCGACCAGATTTCAAATACTGCGAGGTTCCCCAATCTGGGTCTTGCTACTGCTACCCCTGCTACCCCCCATACGGATGCGGAACAGGTCGCTGCATGGAATCCTCAGTTTTATGCTTCTGCTTTGGGCCAGCCTCAGCACCAACAGCACCAACAACCTCAGCAGCAGCAACAATGGACTTCAGCTTTCCAGACTCCGCCTAACTCGTCTCAGGGACCTACAGGCCCTTTTGGTCAAAATCAGGAAGTCCTTTATCGACCTCAATTACATCGATCGTTTAACGGCGATGAGCACTTGGAAAAGAGCGGTTTCCAGGTTCACCCTTTCCGCTCCGAACCGGGCCCCCCTTCGTCGTTTAATAGTCCTGTTGCGAGTGACGCAGGCGCCATTAACGTCTCTGGCGGGAACGGTAGCGCGAACAGCGGCCATGGCAATCCGAATGCCGCTCCTAACTCGATGATGAAAACTTCGACTTCTGTTCCGAACCTAACGTTGTCGCTGAGCGCTGGGGTTGGGACACCTGCGAGTCATATGATGAGTTCGTCACATCTGCTGAACCTTGGAGATGCGAGTGCTAATGATGCTGACGGTGGTGGTACATCGGTGATGTCTGATCTGTTTGGAGGTGCCGCTACGTACGGGGGCACTCCCTCTGCTTGGGGAGCCGGGCTTCCTGTAGGTCCCGCTGCCCATGGACCTGCGACTGGTGCTTTATGTGGCGGTGGTGCCATGTCAATGGCGCCTATTCCTGTTGGCGGTGGCGGTGGAGGACAGATGTCGTATGCTGTGATGAGCATGTTCATCTGATTTGTGGTCTGTTCGACGGGAGTTTATCGCACCGTTCTAATCGTCCTTTAAGCACAAATTTACATAGCCCCTTGAGTCATCTAATCCCTCCAGCTACCTGTCGTGCTTTCACCTCTTTCTCGACTAACACTGCTACATATCGACGTCACCCGATTCTCGAACACCCCCTCTTACTCTCGTTCCCTAAGTCTCATTTTCTTGGACCTCATACCCACTTCGAGACTTCACACTCATTTGACTTTTCTTTTTCCCCTTCCTTGTCCTTTTAACAAGTGACTCGACTCACCTTTGGCCCTAGCCGCCCCCTCTCATTTCCCTTTCGACAATCATCTTGTTGGCTCTCGGTGTTTCCTCCTGGCAGTTGCCTGTTTTTCTTTTTTTCTTTTTTGGCATTGGCTATGTTGAACATTGGGAGACAGTACCAGCCTTACTTGCTCTATGTTGCACACTCACCTACCTTGGTAGGGGAAAAAAAAGTGTGCTACTCTTTCCTGGCCATGCGTGCATTGTGCTGTTTCTTTTTGCTGTGTGCTCAGTGTCCTATACTTTTTTCGTGTGGCTCTGCTCTTCTCCCTCCTTTTTTGATCCCCACAGTACTTATTATTGTATACATAGTGTCTGACAAAATAAGATGTTGGTGGTCTTCCTGTGCCTTGCAATTGTAAAAAAGAGGTACGCACCGCACATGATACGTGAGGAAACACCAACATGTTTCTCCTGATAAGCGGAACTCAGGCCGACAGCCCAACAGAACTTTGCTGCTGACGGAAAGTGTTCGTGCGTGCTCATAACTGAAAAGGGGGAGGGGGGAAGTACCACCCCGCAGCGGCTAGCAAGCCGAAGAAGTACCAGGTGCATGATGGGGACTTACATATAGGGTGAAGGGAAAGAAGTCGTTGATCAAGATTCATGGCAATGCTTCCAGGCAGACTAGCAACCGTGATGGGCTGAGAGATAATACGAAGAATAGACACGCAAAACCTGTGCAGTTGTACTTGTAACCGAATGAACCCGATTCGCCTGATGTACGTATTACAAGTAGAAATGAGTGAAAGAATTGGGAAGGAGATTCTTGATTGTTCCTTATCACAGAGATGGGTGTGTGTAGAAGTCGGCGGAATCGGCGAGGGACCTTACGAGAGTGAGAAACGAATTCGGTGACTGGAAGAAACTGGGAGATGGGAAAATGACGGATTGAATATCGACAAGGCAAGGTGCGGACTGGTCCGAGGGGCTTATGGTGGGACGGACCAGCATCACGTCGACTAGGCATGCATTACAATCACTCGACTCTTGAACGTAGGGAGGGCGTCCGTTGCGCCGTGACGTTTGTATTGAAGCGATAATGCGAGTTTGATTCGGTGGCGAACCGATGTATGTACTATACAATATGATTGACACCCCCGCGTCTGGTGAGGTGATAATGGACCAAAAGGAGGTTTTCCCGGCAGAACGGACGGAGTCCAAGGCCAAACGAAAGAGACCGTAGGTGAATATTGCACACTCCCGACGAGGTGGATATGATGTTTCGCCTAAAAAGAGATGCCGAAATTAAGTCCAAGACCTTGAAGCGTAAGGCTGTAAGTAGAATATTGCACACCCCTCCCGAGATCGCCCGCTGGGTAACGGAGGACAGAACTCTCGCAAATAAAGAACTGCTCATGAGACAGGGCAGGTCAGCCAATACCTTGAAAGAGGAAGTCATTGCGTATATAAGTGCGCAGGGGGAAAGGCTGCAGAATATTTAATTGAGGGTATTCCGGAGCAGAATCATGGATTTGGGTTGCGTTTGGATTTACAGTAACTCCACAAAGCAGGCCCTTCACGTTGACGGTTCACGGACGAAATGGGGGGCTGGCGTTCCCTATATTGCAACTGGGAAACCGGAGTAGACCCTGCCAATGACAAGGTCATGTCACCGGTGATGGATTTCGGCGCTCATTGATTGCACTCAGCAGAACGCTTACGTGACCCTGGCGTACGCCCCAGCCCCAAAAGCTGGGTGATTGGAAATTCTCAAACCTCCAAGTGATCCTGAAAGATCATAGGCATGACGGCAGGGGGCGCCTGTGCTACAACGCCTAATGTCACCCTGATTGTGGGAAGAGCAATACCAAAGTACGGAGCGTCCAGGTATGTGACTAGCTCACATCAGTTCCCACCGTCGTCATCAAACCATCGGTCTTCTTCATCCTGGGTGTTAGGATCCCACTTTTCGTTATAGTCCACGGACTCGTAGAGCGATGCCTAAACAAGAGATGTAACAAGATTCGAGAGGGCTGAATGAAAGGACTACATGGGAACTTAAGAAGACTCACATCAAGAAGTCCATCAATAAACCGTTCACGGAGCATGCGTTCAAACGAACACTGTGCTTGCCCTAGGCTCAAGGGCTCCTCAGGAGGCAAGTCAGCCTCATCGCTTTCGGAGTCAAATTCTTCTTCTGTCTCTCTTTCCCTGGCTGCCTCAGCAGCTCTTTCCTTCCTGAGCTCTCGTGCCCGCTCTGCTGCGCGTTCTTCTTCATACTCCGCTAGAAGACCAGCGAGTCTGCCCACGTAGCCTTTATTGGTCAACCTCGAGCTCGAGTTAATATCCTGGGTACTTGAAATGTGATTGGACTCCAAAAAGTGTTCCTCCACCCATGATTTCTCTTCTTCTGCGGCGCCCTTCCCTGGGGGAGAGGGGTTTTCCTCTCTGGGACACTCCCAGAGAGACGGCTCCAGAACCTTGCCCACCTCCCAACCCAGCTCAGGTGGATTCGTAAGCGCGTAGATAGTCCGTCGGTTCCTTATCAGGGAGATATTAGAACGTTGACGGGGCGTCAGCACAGTCGAAAACTGCGCTTGGAGGTCGGGAGGAAGTGAAGATATTTCTCTGAGAGGAAACGAAGGGGCTCAATTGATGGTGACGGCGAATGGTCTGATGATAATCCGAGGTATTTTAGTAAGGTCCCGCTATCTATGGAGGGTGTCGGCATGTCTGCAACGTGAATTCCCGATGATGGGTGAGTGAAAGGGGCGTGGGAAACAGCAGTCGGTACCGTTACCAGACGCGTTCTGCCGTGTGTTGATACCGCGGGAGATTTTGCCATATTACCTTGAGGGGTCTAAATCTTTTACTGGTTGTTCTGCCCATCCCGGCGAGACGGATTGCAGCGGCGATGCATTTGAAACGAGCCAGGAAAAATTCGGCCCAGCCACTAGTGCCTCGGCTCAATGTCGCCTCGGGTCTTCGGGAGTCCAGCTGTGGGAACATAATGCAAGAACGGTCAATCCGTCAATCCCCATCTACATTCCTGGATACAGAAATCTCATTTGGCGCAGGGCCAAACCGTCTTGCCAACTCGAGAAAATGACGTCACACAAGGGATATAAGGTGAAGGCTTATGGCTAGCTGTAGCTCCTATCGGTCACTGTTCTGGGTAAAGTTACATGGAAACCAGTTGAATTTGCACGCGGCGAAGGTCTGGTCGACTCAGTACTATGAAAGTCATGGACAGGCGTGTGGAAACAAAGTTTGATGAGGGAGGAGGACGGATTTCGTGCCGTTAGGGTCACCAATTTGCAGTATAAGTGGCCACAAAAATTTGTGATGAACGTGCTTCGTCTCAACTAAGTTTCGGCACAATGTCCTCAATGATGCAGCGGTTGGGAATCTTTGGGCATCAGATATGCAAAGGGTCCAGCGGGTTCTTCAACTCTTCATCACACATTCGATGAAGATCGTGAGCAAACAAACACATTTGGACAGGAGTTCAAACCACATGCAAGCACGAAAACTCCGCCTACAAGGCTTAGCGCGGCGGACACGTGCGTCATCACACCGACTCATCGAACCATCGGGACGATCGACTGGGTGGATGATGTATACCGCCAAGTTGCGAAGGCGAAGGACAGTATTCGTTGTCTAAGGAGAGGCGGTTCCTCACTGGTCAAGGAATGTAGCAACATGCATCACGATGCAGTTATGTATATGTTGACGTCGACGGACCTCAATCAGAGCGCAACGCTTCAGGCAACCATGCGAAATTGAACATTTATTAGCATATCCACATTAATGAAGCCAACATTGAAAAATCGATAGAACTGAGCAGTACTGTACACCTGTAGCACGGAATCCAATAAAAAATCCATGGCGGCGTCCGGTATAACCCGAGGATTGTATGAAACACTACGACGACGATCTCAGATAGCGCAGGATCAGGTAAAGATAACCTTCCTCGCAAGTATACATAGGCGACCCCTCGCCACACACTGTACTAATGCGTGGATCCTGAGAAGCAAGAGCGCAAGCAACATACATCGTCAAACAAGGTTCCAACCCATACAACCAAAAAAACTGCGTTCATGATACGCTATGCTGAGCGCGACGGGCTGGCGAGATCAGGTACTAGTGCGAAGTTATCACATTGAAATAAATTAAACAGAGGTGCACAAACAGTCCCGGGCATTCGTTAGTCAGGAAGGCCAGGCGGTTGCATCGTGGTTGACAGCCTAACGTGCCGCCACCCTGCTCGTCTGAAAGGGGTGCCTATGGCACTAAAGGGATTTGGTTGTTGACCGCTGACAGCCAGACTTGGTTCTTTGGCCTGGCCAGCGCAATTGTTCGTCAGTCCAAGAAGAATTGACTTACGGCAATTGGACGCGTCGAAATTCCTGCAGGCAGCTACAGATCTGGCCTGTTGCTGTCCATGATCCGGGTTGGGCACCAAGGGTGGAGGGTGCCGGAGTTCTCGACCACGCTCCACCAAAAACTAGGGCCTTAGACGGGATGGTACAAGGGGCCCTGCAATAGGAATGGCCCTTGGGCCGGCTGAATCTGGGGTGGCTGCCGCCTTGAATGGTGAATGGGCCCGTTCCTAGCTTGCGGACGGTGAACGAATGCTCGAGACTTTATAGGCTCAACTAGAAACCTATCGCGAGGGAGTGAGATCGATCGTAACCATTTCAAGTATGAATGATCGATCCGTGCATGCGAGAACTCCCATGGCGGCGTCCGGCATGCAAGTGAGAGATAATATCTGCTATGATTGCATGGTATAGGCGAGAAAGAAGCTGAAGTAAAGGTTGTCCCACGTTCCGATTTCGTCTTTATTATCTTCTGATCGCAATATCAATATTCCTCACACCCGCACCAGTCTTCTCAGAACCAGCCTGTTAGCCATCTGGTTGTATATTGAGCTGAGAAACTATTTGTATGGCTCTTTGGAGATCCTTCCAGCTTGCCATCGGTTCTTATTCCCCTATTCTTCTCAACCCACCCGTTGGCTACAGCAATGAAGTTCTCAACTGCGGTTATATTCACTTCCACTACGACAATGGCTCTCGCTGCCTCTGTTCGTATCAGGACGCCGAAGGGTCCAGTAAAGCCCGACTCGTACATCGTGTATGTCCCACACACAGGCATGGCATAACACTGGCTGACTCACTACATAGTATGCTGAAATCCGCTACAAATATGGAGGACCATATCGAGAGTATTACTCGGATATCCGCCCGGAGCCCTGGGTCAGAATTTTCAATTACTCACCGGTATGAGAGTAAGTTGATATCAGAGAATTTCCCCCACAATATGCTGACTTTCGTAGTGCTGAATGGCTACTCCGCACACGCAACTGGAACATCCCTTGTTCGCATCCTCACTTGCCCCGAAGTTAACTATGTCGAAGCTGATGGCACAACTTCCATTGACTATGACCTCCATGAGAGGGATGCGACAGAGCGTGACAATGATGGGATTGAAATGGAGGATGATCCGGTTGAACTCGAAGCACGCGCCGATGGGCGTAGAGTGACTATTTATTCACTGGAAACTGGAGCTTTGCTAAAGCACGCATGCTTTGATGAAGAACTGCATAAGTGGGGTCATGTGCGTAGTATCTCTTCACGCACTCTCCACCGTATACGTTCACTCATACCTGCTTGTATGTGCAGACCGTAACTGGTACTCACCAGGTGGACACTTCAGGCCATGGCACATATGTCGCGGCGAAGGCAGTGGGACAGGGTTTTAGCTTGGCGACTTTCGCCCACCTTAAAGTTGTGAAGATCGCTGAGAGCACTACTGTACTTGCCTCCAACCTAATCGCCGGCATTGAGTGGGTTTACGCCGATAGTACCGAGTCCCCTCCGGAACAGAGGGGTTCTACCATCATTCTGATAACCTGCTCACTTCGTGACCGTCTTGCCATTAATGAAGCCGTCCACAAAGTCATCAATTCTGGGTTGCACGTTGTAGCTTCTGCAGGGAATGACTACCTGGACGCGGGAGAGTTCGGTCCTGCGTCTGCGGATGGAGCTATCACCGTTGGGGCTGTCTACTGTACAGCAACAAACCATTACGTAATCTCCCACTCCAACTATGGAAAGGTCATCACTGTTTTCGTCCTGGGTATGAACGTTATAAGTGCTTGGAAAGGCCCTGGCTTGCAGGGAACGAGGACACTGAGTGGCACTGCACCAGCAGCTGCGTCCGCTGCGTCCATGTTAGCCTGCGCTTTATATCAATATGGTTGGATGTCTCCTGCCGAGGGAAAGGAGGGAATGCAGTGGCATGCCGAAGGGGTAGTTGAGGGCCAGCCACCGGGCATACCGACCACAACCTTGTTGGCAAAATATTGGTAGTGATTTGAGGAAGACATACATGCTACACGTCCTACCTTCACAGTCTTTTTCTCAGCCCATTTCTAGTACTCATATGAGAAATTGTCGATGTCCCGAATGCATGGATGAAATGAAAGATATGTTGGATAATGGAATTCCTTTTAAAGATAAAGGCGTTGGCACGCAGGATCTCAGATGCGTAAAAGAGTTCTAAAATTGGGAAAGCAGCAAATGAAAGGCAAAGATGCGAGAGAAGAAGCAATGAACTCCCATCAATGCACTTTGCGAGGGGTTCCCAGGTAGCATGGAGTCTATTGGTGTCCCTGTCTAACCATCAAATGCAAACAAGTTTGCTGTTTACCTGCACTATGTGCAAAAACTAGAATTTGATGAAACTCCTGATTACGATTTCCTGCGCCTACTTTTCACGAAGAGTCTCAAGCATATCAGGATGGCGTGTATGACTGGCATCTCCTGCATAGTGGAAAGGGCCGGGAGGCTAATTGAGTGTGCCGATGCCGTTTCTTACCCCTACCTCGCTGATCAATGCATTTCAGTCTGGCACACATCTTGTTGCGCATTCCAATCAAACTAACGCTCCTCAAGGACCCCGGGTAGAGCCCCCGTCGGGTTCTGGGCCAGTTGTTTTCCAGGATCTTGGTTCCGGACCTGAAACTTTGGAGATTGAAAATTTCAAGGTATGATGTGTGAAGATTTTCAAATGCTCCATGACTCTAGTACCTTATTGTCTGAGTCAAGAACTCCACTGATCAGCAATCAATCAACGGGGGTAAGATCTCGCAAGAACAAAACTCAGTGTCATATCCTTCCCAATCTCGGTCTCAAATTCGTCCTAACACTTTGGCATAGGGCTCCGGGTGGATCGGATTATCCCGGATGATCCGGAATTTTCGATCCCGGATGCCGGATTAGGATTGGGGGTCAGGATGTATTCTTGATCCGGGATTGGCATCCGGGATGATCCCAGATGATCTGGGATGGAGTCCCATTGCTAGCATGCAACTAACAGCCCCCTTATTGGTTTGGGGGCCTCCGAAATTATTGTATTGTAGCAGATATTTTAACTCCTGACTCATTGTCCGTGCACATTGCTGGCTGCTGTCCAGAAGGGTGTCAAGACTGTTTCCCACGGTCCACACACACTTTACATAGTTGGATAGCCCTATTGAATAGCTTCCAGAATATACAATTTGAGAGTGAATTGACCAATCAAAAAATGCAAAATACTTTTTTGGATGCGAGTCTGCAAATACTTGTGGCTGTCCAAACTCACTGTCTGTGCACAATGCTGGCCACTGTCCAGAGGGGTGTCAGGGCTGTTTCCCACGGTGTCAACACACTTTACACCAATGGATAGCCCATTTGAATAGCTTCCAGAATATACAATTTGAGACTAAATTGACCAGTAAATTATCGAGAAAAATGCAAAATACTTTTTTGGACACGAGTCTTTTGGGGTGACTCAATGTCTGTACTCATGCTGACCACCATGTAAAGGGGTGTCAGGACTGTTTCCCACAGTGTCAACACACTTTACATTGATGAATAGCCCATTTGAATAGCTTCCAAATTTATTGTATGATCGGAATACATGTTAAAATACAAAGAAATCTTAAGATGTGATTATCCAGGATCATCCGGGATTTTCATCCGGCAGATCCGGATTGGCCATTGGGAGGTTGTCCCAATCTGGGATTTCTGATCCTAATCCAATCCTATCCGATCCACCCGGACCCCTACTTTGGCAACATACGTTTTTGCCCCATTACCACAGCACCCTCCCTGGTTACCACAACTTCTTTCAGAACTTTTGGGAGTTGACAGCCATAATCTCACTGGACAAATAAGTCAACGTGACGTTTTACAAGGCCAAGGCAGCTTTGGGAAGGTTTACCAAGGTGTTTACAATGGGGCAGCCTAGGGATCAGTTCCATTTTCCCTTGGATTCGTAAACTGATTGCGGTGCATTTTATCACCAGGAAACTGTGTGTGTCAAGGTCTTGAAGGAAGTCTGCACTTCTGCGAACGAGGAAGTCATACCAAAATTCTGTTGGGTTCGGTCCTTTCATTTTCGCTCTTCCTACCACAAGGAGAGCTTATTATTTAATCCCCCAGAGGATGAAGCGTGAAGTGAAAGTCTGGACAACATTACAACATCCAAACGTTGTCGCATTTCATGGGTGGGTGTCCTTTAACACATATACGACATACTTATAGTGGCACCCAGAGAAACAGTACCTGCGAAGTTGTTCACTCAAGGGCTGACGTTGACAGGAGTTTTGCGCTACCCAGTAGAGCCTTAGGTGCCATGGTTAGTTTGAACAGAATGAAGCTACACATACCAGCCTAGTACAATGTTTCATACACATATACAGAAGTTACATGAGCAATATTAAAATGAAGATCCAACGGTGATCCACAATGTTTCCAATAGGGTATCATTCAGTGGCAGGTACCCGTATTAATCGCAGGACCAGTTCTTCAACGGTTGGACATTCACTGCGATTTCGTTCGAGGCAACTATTGATATTGGCGAGAAAGTCGTCAGGATTGTTCCATTCAAATGGGCACGCCCATTCATTATTGCATGCAGAATCACAGGGTGGGTTTCTGATCCATGATACGGTTTTTGATCAAAAAGTATCTGAAAGCAACAAGAGGCACCCCCCCCAAGGTCAGTAGTGAGTCGTTGCATAGTAACATTGAGCACTCGAACCTGTCCAGATGTACAACCAAATGCCCAAATATCGCTTTTGCGATCGCGGTATTGTGCCTCATAAGTAAGTAGGGGTGCTGAAGTTCATAAAGGACGGGTTCAAACCGGACCCGGACCAAGGACCGAACCACGGTTCAGTTCAGGCTTGGTCCTGTGGCGGTTCAGTTCTGGTCCTCTAGGTTGAGAGGAAAATCCAAACCGGTCCCAAACCGAACCGGACTGCAGGACCGCTGAAGATTTCAATCTTATACCATGTACATATAAGCTGCAGAAGCATTAATAAAATATTTCATTTGCAATTTTACAGTGTTGAGTTTACATTCGGGGTTGGCTGAGAAATCGCTATACAACTTTGCCGTCACAACTTGTTAAATCCTACTAATGGAGACACTCTCTGGTGGTGAAAGTGGGTGGCACACGGACACTGAAAACCCAATGCTGGGTCCGGATGGTAATTTGCGTGATGCTGCTGATAAACCGGATCAATTTGTTTATAGCCCTTCGAACATCTGACCCCATTGCCCCCCCAATTCTGAAGGCTACAACCCAAATGATGATTTGCTGACTATTCATCACACTCCTAGGCCCAAGCGGATTGTGAAGCAAATCATGCGCAAAAATCCAATTGAGGCATTGGAACGGCAAAAACTCACCGCAAGGAACAAAAATAAAAGGGCAACCTCCTACTGAAATGTCCAGGGAATCCTCAGTATCAGATGGAGAAGTAGCCAAAGAACAAGTCATTTTAAAGAAGCACAACAAGCATGGCCAGGGGAGGAAAAAACGAGCTCAAACTGATGATGCAGCAAAGATTCCAGCACCCATGTCTGGGTTTGAAAATGAGGTGGATCGGGACAGTGATGACGAGATTGCACCTGGGGCCAATGAAGATCCAGAAGAGTTTGCCCATGGAGATGCATGTGCTGCCGAAGCCATTAAGTTATCTCGGAAAGCATGGGGGCTGCAAGACCTCGAAACTGTGTTTACTGAGGTCATCCAGGATGGGCAAGAGAGCTATCAGGTATGTTGAGTATGCCAGTAAGTCTCAATATCTATCAATCCACTAATAAATGATCACTTACACTGTCATATCTGTACATACCCGATCCCGATCCGACTCCCAGACCCCCATCTTCACCACCTCCAGAGTCCTACCCTATCTCCATCCGCTCCAATACTCACCTTCGGACCTGACACCTTTCCTCTCCTCCACTCCTCTCCCTGTTCCTCTCCTTCCTCTGACCCTCTCCTGCTAACCCTCCGCCAAGTTACGACCTTCCACCGCTGTCCCTTACCCTGTACTTGGACACCTGTTACAAAAATGGGGCCGGAGGCACCCATTTTCATCCATTCAAGGCACAGGAAGAGGGAAGGGGGTAGAGGTTGAGCTCATGCGATTTTACAGATATTTTAACATGTGGTTTAACAGATGTTTTCACAAGTGGTAGTTTAGGTGGTTAATAATTGGATAAACTCTAATTATTTACATATCATGTGATTTGGGTGTGTGCAGGGCCCATAAGAGTCTAAATTGGGAAATTTCCCATTTCCATAACAACACCACTCATACCTTCGCTCTGAGATTCTGTCATAGTTCCGACCTCGGACTTTGACTCCACCTCAGCTTAAGTCCATTGCATTGGTGACCTCATACTACGTAAACACCATTGCCAATATTCCTCGGACTTCCAACCCCGCCTCCATAACCTCTGAGCTCCACAGATCACACTCAGCACTTTTGCTGCTTGTAATGTATCTTTCGCATTTTCCCCTCATCCTTATTTGTACTGCTGCTTCTTCCCATTCTAGCCAGTTAGTCATCATCCCACTTCACCTCATCCTCCTGCCCCTCTGGGCTTTGCCCTCCCTATCTCCTTTCGGATGTACCACAGGTTCTGACCTATGACCTTCAGTACCGCTCCGCTTTTGTCTTCCCTTTGTCCCATTCAGACGCCTTGGTTCCAATTTGGATCCTCCTTGTTTCCTCATGCTTTCGCCCTCTCCATTATATACCAGCGCTTGTACATACTCGTTTTAGGCCCTTAGTCTAAAATTGACCTGAAATGCCCCCTAGAGACTTCCTGCTCACTGCCTCTGAAATTGAGGACCAAATGGACAAACAGCAATGGCACAGCGCTCCGCTTGAGTCGCTGAGGCCAAGGTCCCTCCTTGCTAAGTCTCCGGTTCCCCTCTGGAATCGTCCACCCTCGCCCAGTTCTAACATACACACAAAAGATTGGCTTATGACAAAGGGAGACGATCAAAACAGTTGATGCCACACTTTTCTGCCAGTTCTGGCTCCAGCACACTTCACAGGCACATTTCCCGTAGTGGGGGAGAGCACTGGGAGCTCTATCTGAAGCAGTGCAACTCCCTTGGGATCCCACCTGATGATAGAGCAATTCCCAATGCTGTAAGATTGGAGCAAAAGCAAGCTCTCGTTGCAAGCGAGTGAGTGTTTGAATTCCAATTCATTTCGGCACTAATCCCTCATGTATCATAGGAAAAGCCAACAAAGAATCACACATTTCTATTGCCCAGCTGACGATGAGGAACCATGGTCTGTGAAAGGCCTGCTGCATTGGGTCGAGGACATCAAGCATGATCTGGCAAGTGTGCTTTTTGGCTATATGGCACTGACATCAACTACATACAGGGCTTTGATTTGGTTGACTCAGCATCATTTCGTGGGCTAATGAAGTTCCAGGCACATGGGGGCCTCAGCACTACATCTCGCTACAAGGACAAGGACCTTCCTCACAGAACAAAAATGACACAACTTGTTCTTGCACATGCAGAAACTGTCACAAAAAACTTGAACAGTAAACTTCAGGTATGTCATCATCGCATGGGAGTCACTCATAGATATGTATTTACTATATGATTATAGGAAGCACCTGGCCTTGTTCACTTCACCTTCGATGCATGGACCTCTGCAACTATGAGGGGTTTTCTTGGTACAACATGTCACTTCTTGGACAGTGAATGGAATGTCCACTCTGAGCTAATGTCCTTCCACAAGCTTGATGGACCTCACATGGGCGAAAATATTGCAAATAAATTGTTGGCAGAGATCACTAAAATGGTACCAACGATGAAGGCAAGTGTTCAACTAATTCTCTACTCATCCAAGTTTGATACTAATCATTCAACATAATTACCTCATAGATTGGGTACATTACATCCGTCAATGCATCAACAAATGATGCAGCAATGCATGTCATGAGTGAGATTCTTAGTGAGGAACACAACACACGATGGGATGCAAGCCGTTACCGTGTTAGGTTCATCATGTTTGTCATGCTGAACTCTCAGCTTACATAGTAGTGCATCATCTAGATGCACGGCCCATATTGTCAACTTAGCACAACAAGCATTTATTCGTGCTCTCACTGGCAATACTGATGATTTTGTAGAAACTCTCGGTGGCAATACTGGTGATGATGATGAGATTGAGCTGGCCACAAGTGGACTTGAGATTCCTATGGATGGGGGCACTTTGATTGGGCCATTGTTGTCCCACATCCGGGCCCTAATTGTTTGTGTGAGTATGATTCTACTGCGACAATATCCCAATCTGACATACAATTGCAACAGATCCGAAAGTCACGTGGCACAAAACTGTCAGGGCACACCCACCTGACCCGGCTCCACCTGGCCCAACCTGACCCGGTACCCCGCTGTCCACCCTTCCTTACCTCCTCCCCCTTTCCCTTCCTCCCTCCTCATTCTTCCCTCCTCACTTTCTCCCTATCTTACTTCTTCTTTATTCTCTCTTTATTCTACATGGACGACCTTCTTTGTATCAATGTACCATTGACCCATCTGCAGCGTGCCCACCATGTACCCAGCCCAGGCACCTCAGGCGACTTCCCGCTGTGCCCAGTACACGTGCCTGCACTGGATGCCCTCAGGATCTCCCATGGAGATACCTGGGTGGTTATGGCTGTGTGCGAGGGTGACGTGGCACCCGTCATGTGATCTAAGCCGCATGTATATAAACGGACCTGAAGTGGGAACCGAAGTAGCCTTCTTCTCAACTTTCCACTTCAGTCTAAGTGGCCAGGGACCACTGTCCTGCATTGGGCCTGTCAGTACGCACACCCGATCTGCCCCCTGCCAGGCTCTCAGCCCCGGACGCTACACCCAGGCCCCCACGACCCCGGACGAGTCCCTGACAAAAACTTTATTTGAGAGAATGTTGTGCCAAGGTATCCATTAAACCACTGGAACTTGTGATGTATGGGAACACACGCTGGGGGTCATGGTTGATCCTTTTGAACCGATTTACTGAATTGTGGCCAGTGCGACGTTACCTTAAGTTATCAAGTTATACTCTCATAACCTCACTTTTCTGATGATAGGCTATTATGCATTTCACGAACATGCTGACCACAAAGACTCCGTACCAAAGGCAAAGGGTCGTACACCTAAATACAGTGCATGGGTGTTCAGTGATTGTCAGGGCAATAGCCCCAAACCCTGAGCCACATGTAATTAGATACATATAGTCACATGGGTAAGCGGGAACCTCCGGGTAACTGCTTACACACCACCATAAAATACACATACTTGTATCACTTACAGCCTTGTGTGCTGAGCTACCCAAAGACCTCACACTTTTTTAAGTGTATGAGGTGTGTTTTACAACACAACCCACAACAACTATCAAATCTTAACATCTGACTCGGTAGCGCCCATGGCGCCTAAACATGCCCGCAAGGGCAAGGTTGCATCTGCAGCGATGCTAAAAAGAAACAAGCGGTTCATTAAGAAACCGCAATCTCCCATCATGGGAGATTCAAACCAAAAGCCGTTGTCAGACGATGACGAGGATCAACACGATCCGGCATTAGCAACCACCTCAGGGCTGGCCCCTGAAGGTTTTAGAAACTTACGTGGAGTAAGTGCGGGGCCTAATACCCCCAGAACTCCATGACATACCGATCTAACCCAAGCTGGGGAAGATCCCTCACCTCCTCACAAGGTGATCGACTTGTGCGATAAATGCGTAAGCGCTGAACGATCAGCCCAAAAAGCTGATCAGATAGAGTCGCAGGAAACTCCAGGGTCCAACTATCCCCTGGAGTCCCCCCTCATGTCCCCAAGTCAAGCCCCAAAGGCAGACAAAGGGAAACAATGGGAAGAGCCCCCGCGTCGGCTATCCGAAAAACTACTGGACTTGTTCCAGGTTCCGTCCGAATGGAGGACAGAAAGCGAAGACCAACTTCTTCTCAGGCTGAAAGCCCGAGAAGGTGCGAAGATAAGCCCTGAGAGCAGGATCTCCCAGAGTGTGGAAGCTCCAAAAGAACTTCCGCTGTTTACACTCCCACACACCATGCCAGACAAGGCAAGGTCGCCAACCTCAGAGGAGGTCTCTGAGATAATGAAGAGGAGGTGAACTGAAATGAGGGAGTTCGCTGAGGAAGCCTTACGGAAAAGTAAGGAAAAACTAGCAAACAGACCCCTCTATGAAAGGGAAGCACCCTCCGCAATGGCCTCGCCTAAACAAAGCGAGTGTGGAGTGTTCACTCCAAGAACCCATTCTGGAACCCCCAGAAGCGGTAATGTCAACTGGGGAGAGTCTCTGCTCGCCCAACCAAACTTCCTCCTGGAAAACCAGGAATCACACATAATAAATGCGATAAACTTGATCCAAAAAAAGATCGAGGAAACGAACCATAATAGTACGGCTTGTCTAGAGATAACTCTAGAAAGAATGGCCAACGCAATTGACGTGTTGACTGAAAAAATCAGCAAACAGATGGACTTGCTGAAGGAAATAAACTTCTCACAAAAAAGTGAGGAAACAAATAAACACCCCTGGACCATGGTCCGGGACATAAATAGAACTCGTGAAAAATTCACAAAAAGAACCACCAGTGAAAGCACACTGGAATACCATCAGCGACTCGACAGAGACGCGAAGGAGATCCTTCTCCCAAGGATAGGAGAAGACAATGCTGAAAGAAGGCATCGTTCAGAGATTAGGAGAAGAATTGGCACATACCAAAGGTTCGGCCAAATGTC